AACCCCTGAAAAACAACCCCCCACCATAATCCCCCCTCCACCAAACTTTACACTTGGCACAATGCAGTCAGGCAAGTACCATTCTCCTGGCAACCGCCAAACCCAGACACGTCCATCGGATTGCCAGACAGAGAAGCGTGATTAGTCACTCCAGAGAACACACCTCCACTTTTCTAGAGTCCAGTGGCGGCGTGCTTTACACCACGGCATTAAACGCTTTGCATTGCACTTGGTGATGTAGGGATTGTATGCAGCTGCTCGGCCATGGAAAACCCTTCCATGAAGCTCTCTATGCACTGTTGTTGTGCCAATCTGAAGGCCATACGAAGTTTGGGGGTCTGTAGCTATTGACTCTGCAGACAGTTGGCGACTTCTATGCACTGTGCGCTTCAGCATGTGCTGACCCCGCTCTGTCATTTTACGTGGCCTACCACTTTGTGGCTGAGTTGTGTTGTTCCCAGTTGCTTCCACTTTGTTATAATACCACTAACAGGTGACCGCGGAATATTTAGTAGCAAGGAAATTTCACGGATGGACTTATTGCACAGGGGGGCAACCTATCACCGTACCACGCTTGAATTTTGAATTAATTTGTAGCTAGGGTTTCGTTTTTTTTAACTTTTGGAACATTTGCATGCTTAGCTTTTTTATGTACAGTTGTGTGAAAAAGTGTTGGCCCCCTTCCTGATTTTTCATTGTTTTGCACGTATGTCACACTTTAATGTTTCAGATCATCAAACAAATTTAAACATTAGTCAAGATAACACAAGTAAACACAACATGCAGTTTTTAAAGGAAGGTTTTTATAATTAAGGGAAAACCAAATCCAAACCCACATGGCCCTGTTTGAAAAAGTGTTTCCCCCTAAACCTAATAACTGGTTGGGCCACCCTTAGCAGCAAGAACTGCAATCAAGCGTTTGCGGTAACTTGCAATGAGTCTGTTACAGCGTTGTGCAGGAATTTTGGTCCACTCATCTTTGCATCTTTGTTCTCACTTTTGTTGCCAGCGGTTTAGACATTAATGGCTGTGTGTTGAGTTATTTTGGGGGGACAGCAGATGTACACTGATATACACACATGTATATATGGTTTTTTTTTCTTTTTCTGCTCGCTCGCGCGTGCCCCCTGGCGCGCACACGAGCAGAACACCCTGCCAAGTGTAAACAGCAGGTAACAGCTGTTACATACACGTGTTGGATGGCTCTACAATGGTCTCATTGCTTGTGTGTGCCCAACAGTGTTTGGGCCCCCTCGCCCCCCCTTCAGTGCTGCCCCCACCACCACCGCTGTTACTGGCTACGCTGGGCTCTGTTGCCCCTCTGCGGGCCAGGGGCTCTCTGCAATAAGATCTCTGAGTCCACAAATTATGTGTATTACATTACTTCCGTATTTAGCTGTCATTTCTCTGGCTGCTGTAGCATGAGAAGAAGTTGGTGTAGCGGGACTTTGCTTCATTGGCTTCTTTGGGGCCCCTAGGGGATATTAGGGGTCTTAGAGAGGACTTGTCATTGTGCCTGGATGAATAAATGTCAGTCAATATATCACAGCGCTGAATACTGAACAAAGGCGGGGAAAGTGGTTACTTTTTTTGCTTTCGTTGTGATAACTATTGGAACTTTCAATACATTTTCACAGGGCTGCTGCTGTTTTCCTGACATTGGATCAGGTTACGTAGGTAACGTTTGGTGGAGAAATGAAGGATAAAAGTGACAACGTCTCGTGTTTTCATACTTAAAGCAGTTCTCTGCCCGGCTTCTAATAGAATGATTTTCAGCTCCACTGATTATCTTTCACCCGGCGTTATTATTGTCACCATCATTTTGTGTAGGCAGCAGTATTCTTCAACCTCCCCAGGCGATGAAATGTCTTGACCCGGTGTGCTTGTTTCTTACAAGGAAGCCTAATGGCGAGTCCCCCCAGAAGACGGATAGCCGCAGCCTGTGTGTACGGATTAATTATTCATATAGAGGGACGCTCTGTGAAAGCAAAAGAGAACATCACAGCCCATCTATAAATTACACTGGTACAGTGGAGCTGCAGTGATACATTCCACATGCACTAAGTCATGTCAACTTTAGATAGCGAGTTCGGCCATAAAGGAGGAAAACCCTCTACGCAAGAGGATATAATGCTCCAGGCTTTAGTTCTGCCGGTATCCCTTATGTTAGCTAGTTTCAGTAACCTTCTGCATGACCTTTAATTTCAAAAGCAGCCGCTCTCCACGGGTCATTTTGCATAAAAACAGTCTTTATTTGAAATCAATCAGCAAATAAACTCCATTGTAGCAATCCCCATGGGCAAAATGTTAACGCGTTTCACCACTCGGGCTTATTCATGCAGATATCTACATGATTAAAAGAGAACTATGGGGTAAGTGTTTTTCCCCATAGTTCTCTTTAGGGTCACGAGAGGACATATACTAGCGTCCTTCTGTGACCCAAAGCTATTGCCCACGATATACTGTAAGCGCCGCAGCCGGGACGGATCCCGACATTACCCAACTGCGTGAGTGACAGCTGGCTCTGCCTATCTAGAGGCAGAGCCAACTGTGCCCGCCCCCTCCCCCGTCTGTTCCTCCACTCACTGCTGGAGAATCGGAGAGGGGAGGGGGGAATCCCTGCGGGCAGCGGTGACTGACAGTCACTGCTCTCTGCAGGGAGACAATCAAGAAGTGAGCAGATCGGTGCATGTTTCTGCTCACTTCCCAATCAATAGCGCCGACCTGTAATGGTTTCTTTGTCACAGGTCGGCTCTAACTATGAGGATGAGTGGAAATCCCTCACCTCATAGACCTCCTTTAAGCCTGAGTGGTGAAACGCGTTAAAGTTTTGCCCATGGGCATTGCTACGATGGTGTATATTTGCTGATTGATTTCAATAAAGACTGTTTTAATGCAAGGCAACCTGTGGAGTGTGGCTGCTTTGGAAATAGAAGCTATTGTAGGTGAGAATGCACTCTCTAGCCTGCACCTGGGGTGTGCATGTCGTGTTAGTCTGGTCTGGGAATTGGATCGGTGGGGATCTCTTGGAGCTTCTGCATTACCTGTCACAGTTTACAACAGCAGTATAATTTCTCAAAAAGAAAATCCACCTTTAATTATTAAAACCTGTCTTCGAACTCCCATCCAGTGAGTTTGACTAGACTGAGATGATGCCATCTGTCTGCTGCAGGGAAGAGGATGCCTTTCCATGGTCTCTTCTGACCTGTGATCAGTACATTCTAACCAGGGCCATCTCTATAATGAGTAAGCCTGAGGCTGTCACCTCAGGTGGCATCTTCTTAGGTCTCATTGGGGGGTCGGCAGGCAGGGCAACATAGCCATATGCCTGCCACCCCCTTTCCAGCCAGAATTGCCCAGGTTGCTATGGGCGGGGCAACCTGAGATGCTCTGGCTGGCATCCTGCTCAGCTCCTGGCAACCAGTGATGTCACTGGTTGCCAGGAGCTGAGCAGGACGCATCCCCCATTAGTGTGCACCACTGGCACCCACCCCACCAACCTCCCCCCGGTGTCTCAGGGGGTGAAGACCTGGTGGTAAAGTTGTAGTGTGCAGGGAAGAAGCAGCACAGCACAAGGAGCCAATCAGTTCATGTACTGACAAGAAGCATGCCAATCGGTGGGGAGAGCAGAGTGACAGAGAGATGAGCTCATCACTGAGTAGCATCTCCTTTACTGTCCAGTCACATGCTAGGGGCAGATCCAGTGAGCTTGGGGGAAATGAGTTAAATTATGCTGGCCATCAGACCGAGGACATCTAGAGGCAAACAATACTGCAGGGAAATCTTCAGATTGAAGCAAAAGCTGTTTTTGTTATTTTATCCTGTAACCTCAGCTTTTATATTTTACAGCAACATTGGGTATTATATTTTGTTTTGGGGAATTAAAATTAACTTTTTGTAATTTTTTGCTGAAATTTTGCTTTTAGGTTTGCTAAAGAGTTGCGCTAATATCAGCGGCGTAAAAATTTGCACCTGCCGCCATTTTATTCTACGGGGTCTTTGATTTAAGAAATACATTCTGAGGGTGGTGTTTATTAATTTTCAGACTTAAAATGTGGATTATAAAGTGTGCGCCAAAAATGCGCTGGCAGCGAAAAGGTTAAATGGCCATAGTTTTTGATGGATGTCTGCTTTAAACAGTAATGCACATTTTTAAGCCTGTCTTCCTTTTCTGTTTGTTTTTCAAGTCTATGACCTCAGAAATGGAATCCCTGAGGCCCAGCCAGGTGATAAACCTTTCTACACAGTGGAGTACAGTCTTGACTTCCACAAATTTGGAGCGACCGTGCCGGTGGTTAATTTTAGGTGTGTATGAGAGTATCTTTATTGGCAGATCTTTTGTGCCCTGAGATAAATTTCCTGTGAATCCATCGATTGTATCCCACTCCTGTAAACTTATTATCAAAAATGTCCATAGGTCCATAGCCACAGGCAGCCAGCTGGCAGGACGGATCCCTCCATTCGTGCAATTTAACATGAATAGGGGAATTTAGTGACACTAAACTCAGGAGTTAAACCCTAAAAATACATTCAAGTACCTTAACTATTAACAACAATGTAACTTATTTGTGTATCACTCGGCTGTAGATCCTCTAATCCTCTCTGAATTGGTGCTGACACTGTCCTTCCTTCTGGAGGGGGGGGGGCTACTCTTGCTCCCCATGGTCCCTGTGTGTGTTGTAAAGTAGCCACTGCTCCAAGCTCACTCCCAGGATGAACTACAATCTCACATTCAGTTTACTTATATGTATTGAGATTGTAGTCCATCACAAGCGCGAGCTTGAAGCGGTGACTACTTTACAACACACACAGGGACCATGGGGAACAAAAGTAGCCCCCCTCCAGAAGGAAGGACACTGTCAGCACCAATTCAGAGATGATTTGAGGATCTATAGCCGAGTGATACACAAATAAGATACATTGTTGTTAATAGTTAAGGTACTTGAATTAGGAATGCACCGAAATGACTCATAACTATTTTAAAAAAAAATCTTTTACACTATTTTTGATAATTTTTATTATTATTATTTATTTAATTTTTTACTTTACTGTTAGGGGCTCTAAACAGACCACTGATATTTTCCTATAAAATAGAAGAAGAGATTGAGGACACAGAGTCCTCAATCTCTTATTCTGCAGCCCCTGTTATGAATGAACAGGAATCCTCTTGACTGAGTGCTCTTGTACATTCATAAAGTGTGGAAATAGTGTGAGTTACTATGTCCACAACCATGAATGAACAGGAAATGATGTAGAGCACTTCCTGTTCATTCATAACTGGGCACACAGTAAGAATACTATCAGGGTTATTCACAAAAGGGTGAAGCATTTGGAGAAGGGAACAATCTAGGACAACATAGCTGAACTGGGAAGTGAGCTGAATTGGAGAATTTTTCCAAATCAGCTATGTTGTACTAGATTGTTCACTTCTCCTTCCTTCTCCAAACTCTTCACCCTTTAGTGAATAACCCTGTATGTCCTCAGTTCTGATCAATGAGTACTTGTAACTCTCTCTCCATTCTGATTCCTCTGCCTGTCACAGGTGGCCAATCGGGGCGGTGCAGGGACTCCTGTGACAGCTGACAGCCATCTCCTCCCCACACCGCCCCGTTCAGCATCCTCTGAGCTGCCTCGCACCGCCCTGCTCGGCCTCTTGAAGCTTCTCTCCACCCTGCTGGGTGCCAGTAGCTGGATCCTTTATGTCTCCTTGGATCCCTGCTGCCTCTGCTGACCCAGGCGGGGGAGAGCAGTGGGAATCAGAGCGGAAACAGATGGGCGCCCGCCGCTAGGAGAGAAGCTAGGGATGCACTGAATTTTTGCCCGTTATGGTGCTATCTGCATTTTGTCCATAGTACCATTTTTCATGACCAAAATTTTGGTGCATGCCTAACTTGAATGCATGTTTAAGGTTTAATACCTGAGCTGAGGTGTATGGTTCAGCTTATATAGAGCTTGGCGGCACTTGTAGAGCAAACGTCTTCTATTGGAGGCTCCAGTTGGACAGTAGCTTTTATAAGTGCGTGAAAACTCTTTTGCCTGGAGCTGCTTTTCTTTCTAGAGAAAGAGATATAAAACTATTAAGTAGCTTCCTGATGGCATTATGGAACATGCAGCTGTTCCTGAAGTCTCACACAAAGTAAACAGGAGGAAATTCACTGATCTCAGCACTATATTTGTGTCTCAGGAACTTCTTGGCCAGGCTGAGGGTTCAGCAAAGCTGCATCATTATTAACAAAATGCTAACAGTGCAGAAGTTTACTATGTCTAAATTTTTTGGGGCAGATGTCCACATGACCAGGTAATTGCTGTGCGCAACGTGATTTATGGCAGAAAATAATGAACGTATGGCGTTTCTCTAACAGGAATACTGCTCTTTAGTGTTTGCAATATCGGTTAAAATATATGCAAGTGAATTAAAGCTGAACTCCAGGCAAATTACTAAATAGACAAGAAATACAAATAAGAGAGCTGATTTACCTGCCACATGATTTTTTTTTTTTTCAAATTCTTTATTTGTCAACAGCGTTGTACACAGTAATACAGGGCATCTGCCCAACACCAGTGTCAATTGTAATCATAACACATCGTATGCGCATCCCAAACAAGGAGGGATTGCAAACATTTAGTGAAAGTGAAACATATTACTATATGCTTTTGGCATCATTTGGTACAATAAAGCATTTCCCATTGTTGCAAAGGGTCCTCACACCCTACATTTCCCTTGCGCCATTTCGTGTCCCCCACCTCCTGTTGACCTCTCCACGGAAAGTGTAATACATTTTTAGTCACTATCGGGGTGGGGAAAAGCATCTCAGGCCTACACACCCCATAGTGAAATTGTGCATTCCAGTGGATTTGTATGTGGTCGCACAATCTTATTAAGTATTCGTATGTGGGGGTGTTCTACCGCATTCCCATCAGGTAAAGAAAGGACATCAAAAGGAGATTGGAAAAAGATATAACTGCAGTTAGAAAGCAAGGTGGTGGTGGTCTACTCCCTCCTAGGGCCTAGACTTCCCGATCCGCTTCCTGATCGGGTAATGCCTGTTTGTACATGTCTGAGTACCTGAAGTGAAGCCATGCTCCCCACGTTGAGCAGAGGCAATCCTCGGTGTTGCGCATGGACGCTGTAAGATCCTCCATGCGGTAGATGTCATTAATTTTCTCAAACCACATGCGGACTGTTGGAGGAGTGGGCCGGCGCCATAGCATTGGGATACAGGCTTTGGCTGCTGCCACATGATTTGTATTTGTCCATCCACTCTCTGCCACACAGCACAGCCCTGTCTAGCACGACAGGAGACCTGATTTTGATCTGCTGGAACGGCTGGCTGCAGACTATTCTGCCTGAGTTGATAGGGGTCCCAAACCGGGCTTAAGGAAATGGAATTGAGCGTCCACTCACGTAAGAGTGCGAGTCGGGAGTACTTCCTTTGGTCGGGGATTTGGAGGGTCACAGTGCCTCCTGATTACCATAGGCTGGGATGGCAGAGAGCTGGCGGTGTCAAGCGCCCCCCAGGAGTGGCTCTAGTAACACTATGGGTTTGGGACCCCACTGTCTGAAAGGCACTCAGGTCATGACACCAGATGATTTTTCTCCACTTCGCCTCTTGGGCTAGGTCTTCTGGCTAAATGTTTAAACCGTTCTACAAGGCTTAGCCATTGTCTTGCACGCTGGCCCTTATTTATTTTTCTCACTTTTGTCTGTACACTTCACTTTTTATATGTGCGTTTCCTTCACTCGGGAGGATGGAGGGTGTGGATCTTTGGTCCTGCCAGGAAGTCTAGGGGGTGGATGTGTGGCCATTAGGTTCTTTCCTCCCTTAAACCGAGGGTCTCCCATCCGGGGAACCCTCAACCTAGAACTCAGAGGTTGGCTTCGGCTGACCTAGAGGAATGGGTCAGCCTGGCTTCAGCTAGGTGGACATGAGTGCTCTGCCCCTGTCAGGAGCCTTGCACGATTGGGGGTCAGGGATAGGGCGTTATCTCTTCGGTAGATGGATCACTTGACACACCCTAGTGCACTTTTTTTGTTCACTATGGTGTTTAGCTTTTGCACACGCACCGCGGATTAAAATTTATTTTTAATACAGAACTGCATTAATATGTGTATTTTATATGTGCCTGGAGTTCATCTTTAAATATATTGTACAACAAGCTAGATGGATGGATGCATTAGGTGTGATGGTGTCAGTGGGATTTAGACTGCCAGAGTTCGTGGCAGAAGAGGCTGAGGTCACTGGTCTAGCAGCCATAAAGGATTAGGTGAGTATATATTTTTTTATTTGCGCCCTCTAGACCAAAATGAGTTCTTAACCCTTGCAGTGGGGAGTTTAACTTGTTAGATTCCTGAAGTTCCTCTTTATGGAGGTCTAAGCCCTGCTGAAGTCATCCCGTCTAAAGCAGTATACACACCTGTATTAGATGTAAGGACGCAAAGGGAAATTCCACAACCGGACTGGAGGGGGATAAAGGTAAGTTGTCACAGCAGAAGGGCCAAGCATCAGGTGAGTATATCTTCTTTATTCTGGCCCCTAGAGAAAAAACGAGCAGTTAACCTTTGTAGTACGGGGTAGTCCCACTGCAAGGGTTAACTTTTTAAATAACTTATTTCTTCTTTAAAGTGCAACTCCATTTATGTTGAGAAAAAAATCAATCCTCTCTGGGTGATCAATGTACATTGGATTGGGTTTTAACAAACGTCTTTGCAGTTTCCTACCTGTTTCTGTTCTAAAGAAATAGCAGTTTGTTCCAGCATGTTCTTTCTATACTGATGCCTGAAAGGGAGGGTCTGATCCCTGAATGGGAGGGATTGAGATGGTGGACTTTCTGCATTATAATGAGGAAAGTTGCAGTGTCAGCATCCATTTAGTAGTAATTATCCCTCATGCTGTCTGTCATGCCACCTCTTTAACTGATCCCTAATGTTATGGGAAGCCTGCCAAATATTAAATGTTTATAAAAAAGGAATGTTATATGCAAAGTAAAAAACAAACAAACATTAAAAAAAAACAAAAATTAAATGATTTAGAACATTATTGTTTTCTTTTATTTATGTTACTAACACATTTGATTTGCTTTACAGGGAATCATATAAAGTTAAGGCTGATACATTTATTCCTCTTCAGAGATTGCCCAAGATGCCATGGTAAGTATGGTGACCACTTATTGGCCAGGTAATAGTGGAAAGCACACTATGGCATTCATATTTCTCACCCAAAAATCCCTGATAATTTAGAGGACTGACAAATGACAAATGATAGCAAATTATGCAACAGCATGCTATGCACTTAAAGTGAATTTCTAGTAAATATCTCCTATACTTATTGCCCGTCCCTTTCCTATGTGCAGCCTGCTGTACTAAATACTTACCTTGCTCCCTATCCTTCAAAGTGTGGCGCTGTCAGACACTGTACAGCCATTCCAGTGTAATAGCCCCAGTATGGCTCCTCTTCTTAGTTTGCAAACTTGCAGAGGTACAATTCATTCCTATGCATGAGCTGTGATCCAGCTGTATTAAATTAAAGTGACTCTAAACTCAGGAGGTAAAACATTAAAATGCATTCAAGTACCTTAAAGGAGAACTATGAGATGAGTGATTTCCACTCACCTCATAGTTCTAGCCGACCTGTGACAATGAGACTGTCACAGGTCGGCTCAGTAGATCGGGAGGTGAGCGAATGCATACCGAGTTGGCTCACCTCTCGATCCTGTCACGGCTCTCTGCCATGACAGGGGTAGGTGCTGGATTCCCCTCTCCCCGCTCCGATCTGCCAGCTCTGACTGGCGGAAAGGACGGGGGAGGGGGCGGGTACAGCCGGCTCTGCCTCTAGATAGGCAGAGCCAGCTGTCACTCACACAGCTGGGCAGATCCCGCCGTCCATGTCGGGATCCGCTCCGGCTGCGGCGTCTCAGTATACCGCGAGCTGTATACTGAGCTTAAGGTAACAGGAGGACGCTAGTTTGTGTCCTCCCGTTACCCTAAGGAGAACTATGGGGAAAAACACTGACCCCATCGTTCTCCTTTAACTATTAACAACAATGTCTCTTATTTGTGTATCACTCGGCTGTAGATCCTCAAATCATCTCTGAATTGGTGCTGACACTGTCCTTCCTTCTGGAAGGGGGCTACTTTTGTTCCCCATGGTCCCTGTGTGTGTTGTATAGTAGTCTCGCTCCAAACTCGTTCCCGTGATAGACTACAATCTCAATACTAATTAGTAAACTAACATAAACTAATCGTCCATCTACTCCTTGACAATGTGGCTGCATTGGACTGTAAACATTGCCGCAGCCACGATGTTTCACTTTCCATTGCAGCACATTTAAAACGGCATGCTGAGTTTATTAGGTGCCACCGCCTGTCAAACTTGCTCATTAAAGTCAATGGGAGTGTTGCGCAACTGCATTCCAAATACTTGCCATGCAGTTGAATTGTGGTTTTTCCAATATAAATTCCCCCTTGAGATGGAAAAAAAAAGGCATTTATGAGGCAGCAGTATTACCTATTGAATGCCTGCAAACCAATTATTTAGCCACCTCCAGAAAAGCCATCCACTGCGAGATACTTTTCAGAGGTGCGGTACAGTCTGCCACCCATGTGAAAAAGGCCTAAGAGTGGAAATCATAATTGTTTCATTTTTGTCATAAGTAAAACATTTATAGTATTTATAATCATCATAATGTTTGCTCTGACTTGACTATTATAGAACATGTACACTATAAAATATAGTAAGCTATATTTTATTATGTTTATAATAACTGGTGAGTGACTGCTGCTAAACATTTAGTAAAATCTCCATAATAAAATCAACATATAGGATGGAAGAGTTCTTCATGTGCATGTATGACCCATCCGTATATTGGATACATTGGGGTGGAACTTTGGTAGGTCCTGGTGGTAGAGCTATTAGTATGGGTCAATTACACTTCTGTTCTCAATGAAAAAGCTGCTTGGTTGCTTGTAGGTGACACTATATTATTACATTTTATTGACACTGTAGCAAGGTTTCTCTTCCTGGTACCTATTGATTTTCTTTTTAATATTCTCCAGTCTCAGTCTAACAGGTCTAATCCAGTTAAAGTGATCCTGTCAGGCTAAATAAAACTCCTAACTGAAGGTTCTCGCAACAGAATAAGTGCTTTTATTCAACCCTTAGTTGGTCAGTGTCTCCTACAACCTCTAGGTTCCAGTGGTGTAGCCTCCATCAACACCTGGGGAAGAGTGGATCCAGTGTCCCCCAATGCATGCTCTGGTTTTATCCTTCGATTCTTGGATGAGGTCAGAGGATGGAGCCACAGGATGCTGGAGAGCTAAGTATAAGATCCTGACAGGGTCACTTTGAAGTTAAGTCTTAATAATACATTCAAGTACCTTAACTACTAACAGCAATGTATCTTATTTGTGTATCACTCGGCTGTAGAGCCTCAAACCATCTCTGAGCTGGTGCTGACACTGTCCTTCCTTCTGTAGGGTGATTACTTTCGTTCCCCATGGTCCCTGTGTGTGTTGTAAAGTAGTCACCGCTCCAAGCTCGCTCCCGTGATGGACTACAATCTCATGTTTAGTTTTCTAATTTGTATTGAGATTGTAGCGGGGACTACTTTACAACACACACAAGGACCATGGGAACAAAAGTAGCCCCCCTCCAGAAGGAAGTTCAGTGTCAGCACCAATTCAGAGATGATTGGAGGATCTACAGCCGAGTGATACACAAATAAGATACATTGTTGTTCATAGTTCAGGTACTTGAATGTATTTTTAAGATTTAACTCCTGAGTTTAGTGTCACTTCCAGTGAAAGTTAGGGTGGTCTTATTCTGATGATTTATAATAGCCCGAAGTAATATTATGTTCCAGGGGAACAATGCATTGGAATGTTTAGATCTTTATGATAAATATACAGTTAACATCCGGTTTTTGTAAATAGAAAAGAGATACTGAAGGGAGATCTTTGTAACAAATGACATTTCTTATGTTTTCTAAATTGGATAATAGCGACTCTTTCCATCCCCAGTGTTCCATATAAAGTCAGAGTTCAGAAGAAGAGCGTGGAGGAAGAACTGAGAGATGTGAAGGAGCTTAACTCCTGGAAACCTGCTCAGCGATCCTTCCTCTTTGACTTACCCATCAACTGACACTAAATGAAGGCAGAATAGAGGGAAACAGAATGTGTAATACTTCTGTTATACAGCCTACATTCCTTGTATTGTAATTGTACAGTATTGCTATATATTTACTTTCATTGTGTAAATATTATTTTCATCTCTGTAGCCAGGAGTAAGTGCACAGCACACAGATGTTGGACTTCCTTTAAAGCTAAACTCCACCCTTACCTTTTTTTCCCACACTTGTAGCAAGTTGTAGTAAACTTCCTGTAATTCTCGTAATCTCCTGTAAATTTGCATCTCCCCAATATAACCCTTTGAAGCTGCAGTAGCTATCTTGAGCCCTCCTTCATTTCCTGTTTGAACTACTTCAATTATTATCAATCCCATTGCCTTTGGCCCACCTCACACAGCTTTCTCTGCCATCAGTCATTTTGTTCTGGAGCATTTGTATGAAAACACATCTGCAGCATCCCTTTAGACATGCATACTCTAGCAACTGATCAGCAAGTTGCACAGATAAAGTCTGCAGCACACCATACCCAACAAGGAGGTGCATGCAGGGCCGGATTTACTCTTTCTGCTGCCCCAAGGCCAGGTTCCTCAATGCGCCCCCTGCCCGCCAAACCGCCCCCTCCCCCCATGGAGAATGGCAGACCTGCAGGCTGCATACAAGTTATCTCGTTGACATCGCTGATATCACTTGTACAAAACAATCGGCAGCTTCCCCCGCTGTACATTTAGCTCTGCTTGCCCAAAGCAGGGCTAGATGTAGAAAATAACTACACCCGACTGCGCCCGAAACTGCATGTCCCGGGCGTCGGGAGATAGGAATTCCCCACCCCTGCTGCCCCTCTACTCCCTGCTGCCCCGAGGCCAGGCCTTGGCTGGCCTTGTGGGAAATCCGGCCCTAGGTGCATGCATGGCTAAAGGGATGTTGAGCATGTGTTCTTTTATATAATACTCAAGGAAGGGTGCTGTAACATTTACAGAAACCTGCAAGCCCCTCCCAAAATACTCAGAGCAAAGATCAGCCGGCAGACCCAATGATGATGCCACTGGGTTTCAAAAAAGGTATTTTTGGAAAAAAATAATTATTGAAAAAAAGCTAATTGCACGTTGATTAGGGAATTGAGGGGAGGGGGTGGCAACTCCCGGGGGCTGCTTTATAACTGGAGGTCTCCATAATGAATTATATTCTTGGTAAGGGGGTTGTGAGCTTTGTAATAGTCTAGTCTAAAAGTAGACTTACCCTTTAAGTGTTAGTTTTATGAATTTGGGGTAAGAAATAAGCTTACCTAAACACAAGACATTTTATATATTGCAGCTTGCCAGTCCTAAGATTTGGTGGCCGCATTCATTTTCTTTTTTCAGCCTTTTTTATTTCTCTATTATCACCTGGCGATCCTGCAAGTAACAAACTTCCTGTCCTAGGGTGACAACACTTACTCACTGTACTTTATCTAGGGAGATGCAGCATTATAATCCTGGGCTGCTCTACTGATTCAAGAACAAACACCACCCTCTCTCCTCATCTCCATAGTATTAGGGCAAGTGTTATGTAGTCCACAGAAGATGCATGGCAACATTGCTTAAAATCTAAAGTTACATTAAAATCGAAATCCCCCCCCCCACCCCAATGCTGGTGTAAGGACTTACCTTAAATAATGCCTCTTGATCCGATCATCTTCTTCTTTCCTGTAGTTTTCAGGAGTCCCTCCAGCGCTGGTGCCAGTCTCTGGTCCAGCGATGACTACTCCGTCTCCTGTGTCCCACGGTGTCTGTGCGAGTGCACGCTGCCGGGCTGTGTGCATGGACTTACCTTGTCTCTCTCCTTGTCTCCTGGCCCGAAGATCTCTACTGCGCATGCGCCCGCCCCGAGATCCTTTGCGGCTTCCTCGAGAATCTTCAGATCTTTGGTGCGGAGACACAGGTAAGTTTTAACCTTTTTGGTAACTTTTTTTTGTATGTTTCTGCATATATCTACTGCTTGCTAGCAGTAGATACGTGCAAAAAAACCCTGAAGGTTTAATTATACTTTAAGTTCAGTACACAGAACTTTAGAAGGACACTGGGTTTGTTGAGGTCAACTAGCAATTTTCTATACCTGCTGAAAATGTTCTTATCCTGCAAAAAATGAAACTAATTCAGCCACCAACATCTATGGACTGGTAAGCTGAAATGTATAACATTTTTGGGTTTAGATACACTTTAACCTGATCACTGCCAGCGCCGGGATTCTGTTTACCTGTGCAAAGTTGACTCCAGATTGCTTCCATGGACCGATAAACTGGTCCCCCAACCACAGCCCAACACCCCTGCCCAGCATCACGGTTGTCGGTGGGAAGCAGGGAGAGAGACCTGTGAACAATCATTCACTGATCTCCTCCCCACTGAATGAAACTGGAAGTGACGCTGATTGCATCACTTCCGGCTTCTGAGCTGTCATTCCCTGGCTTCTGTTCTCTGCTTGAACAGCTTATTTGAAGTGCAAAGGGGACATCAGGGGTCTAATGTGCATTTATTTATTACAAAATTGAATGGCCAAAATAATTAATAATAATAATACAATAAATTACATTTGTTTTGTGCCATAAGTCCGAAATTCCAATCACTTATATATGTTTCACATTGGTAGATAGAACATGGCTCTTAGATGGCCTCAAGGTGCGACTACATCCTCTTGCCAGTCATGCTATGCTATGTAATTTATCTTCCTCAAATCAGCATCTCTCAGTTCTGTGCAGAGTGAAGCAGAAGCAGGGTTGTCCCTACACTTTTTGCTGCAGGTTTGGGTGGTGGTAACGGGGATCACTCTTCCCGCTTCAACCAGTGACATCAGTGAGCTGAGCGGGTCGCCGACCAGAGTGTCACAGGTTGCTAAAAGCCCTTAGCAACCTGGGACACTCTGGCACGAAAAACGGTGGCCAGCACATCTGCCGCCACCCATAAGATCCAATCAGGGTCGGATTTCCCACAAGGATAACCAAGGCCTGGCCTTGGGGCAGCAGGGAGTGGAGGATCAGCAGGGGTGTGGAATTCCTATCTCCCGATGCTTGGGACTTGCAGTTCTGGGTGCCGGGCGGGTAGTTGTTTTTGGGCAAGCAGAGCTAAATGTACAGCGGGGAAGGTGTCACTTGTTTTGTACAAATGATCCCGGCGATGTCGCCGAGATCACTTGTATGCAGCCTGAAGGTCTGCCATTCTCCATGGGGGGGTTGGCGGGTAGGGGGGCGCATTGAGGAACCTGGCCTTGGGGCAGCAGAGAGAGTAAATCTGGCCCTGGACCCAATGAGATGCCCCCTGAGGTAACAGCCTCAAGCTGCCTAATTATAGGGATGACCCTGATGAGAAGCATACATTTTTTTGAAATTGGTGCATAATTATACTGGACCAAAAGCTGTCCATAGCTAGACTATAGAGAGCTGAGAATCCCTGACCTGCAAAATAACAGAAATGATAAAAATCAAGAGGTTTAACAGTCTAGGGGAAAAGAGGGGGGCTTGTGTTCACAGTCAATATGAGGCATTTAAATTGACCTACTCATTGAAAACAATGGGGGAATTAACAAAAGTTTTATGCCAGCACCACTCCTCTCTACTCAGAAAATGGAGCAGATCCTGCTCCTAATTAACAGGCACAACCCCTTTGTTAATTAGGAGCGATCTGCTCCGTTTTCGATGCTGTGTCTGCACCAGACAAAGCATAGAGAGCAGAAGAGCTGGAGCAGATTGCTTTTACTCCCTCTGCCCCCCTGCCCACTGCATATGCCAGGGTTCACAGCCAGGCATATAGGCAGGGAAAGGTGCTTTTCCTGCCTATATGCAGGCTATGTGTTCACTGCATGGACAGTAGACTTGTGCGCCGTCAAAAAATTTGTTTAGTTTCGTTACGTTTCGGAATATCCGTTATTTCATATTTCGTAATTCGTGTTCGAAACTCAATTCGGATTCGTACGAAATACGAATTTTCGTTAGTTTCGGCACATTTTCGTACCTTTACGAACATTCGTTATGATGAAGTTAAAAAGCAAAAATACCTTTGTTAATATTGGAGTCGATGTGGTAGTTGTTTTTTTTAATCCGAAATACGGATTCCGTTATCAGATTCCAGATCCGAATTTCGTATTTCGGATAAAAAAAAAAAACTACCATCAATCAACTCCAATATATTAACAAATGTACTTTGCTTTTTAACTTAAATATAACGAATGTTCGTAACGGAACGAAATTCCGTCAACGGAATTTCGTATTTCCTGCCTGTATTGTAATGCAACTGTCAGCAGCTGAAGAGAAAACCTTTGATTGGTCAACCAAACCAAATACGAATTCCGTTAACGGATTCTGGATCCGAATTTCGTATTTTGGATAAAAAAAAACTCATCAACTCAAATATTAACAAAGGTATTTTGCTTTTTAACTTCAATATAACGAATGTTTGTAACGAAACGATTTTCCGTTAACGGAATTTCGTATTTCCTGCGTGTATTACAATGCAACCCTCAGCAGCAGCGGATCCGTATTTCGGATTTAAAAAAAAATCTTGTCATGTTGTTCAACCTCATTTACAGGGGTAATATTAGTTCCCGTTTCAAAGAAATTCGGATCCGAAATTCGTTAACGGAATTTCGTATTTCGGATATAATTCGGAAACTGCAATTCGGATTTCGGATGCTTCCGAATTTACGAATTTCAGGAAAATTCGTACGAATTTTGATTCGTAACGAAACGAATCGCACATGTCTAATGGACAGAGAGAGGCATGTGAGCTGTCTGCAAGGTTACCGGCAGATAGTTCACATCCTGTAGACCAGGTCCAATCTGGCCAATACAGAAAACTGCTGTCCCAGTTGTCGAACAAGCACGCCACTAACCCACCGAGAATTGTGCGATTCTATGAGGGTTTTCCAGCCTGCTTGTTCGACGGAAGACGTGCGATCGTACAGTAGAAACAGTCGCACACCTTCCATACACTTTGCGATTACCGTACGATCGTGGGATTTCCCGCAATTATCGTACGATAATCGTACA